GGCCAGCAGCTGCGGTGAGCGGCCATCCAGAAGCCAGTGACTGATCTGCCTCACCCGGGAAGAGCGCGATGATGGTGCCAACTTGGGCCAGTGAAGCAACGTCCTCAACTAGACTGAAGAACAAAACGACAGCAACTTGTCTGTTCTCTTCCCCCAAGTCCCCAATAAAAATCTTAAAAAAAAAAAAGAGTAGCAGGTTCTATGTGTATGGCCAAGACTGTCCTCAATGCCTGTATTGGTGTCACTCTCACTGAAGTCCTCACTAACTCCAAGGGAGGAGGAGACGGGCAGAAAGACATGGTTCTCTTTCTGAAAATTTTTGCTTCACTCTCTTACTCTACCCTGAAGTTCAGTGATTAAAGACTCATTTATTTTAACAAACACATTCTTTAAATATGCAAATGCATCTCTTGGGATTAAGTTGCTTTCAGTGATTATCCCAATGCCACCACTAACTGCTCTGTAACCTTCAAAAAGTTACTTAACCTCTTTGACCATGATTTACTCATTAGTAAATGCTAATGAACAGACCCTACCTAGAAAATTATTGTGAGGACTAAATGAGTTAATACATCTTAAGTGCATAGACGAGTTTCTAGCACATAATAACTCAAAAATATTATTTTATTTATTTATTTATTTATTTTAAGCTGAGCCATCCTGCCACCTGTTGGCAGCTCAGTGACTGCTCAGCTCGGGCCGGGAATCGAACCACTATTGCTCAGAGCTCAAACTCTTGAGCGAGCTCTTAACCAACTGAGCCACTTGGCCGGCCCAAATGTTTTTTTTTTTTTTTAAAGATTTTTATTGGGGAATTGGGGGAAGGGGAACAGACAAGTTGCTGTCTTTTTGTTCTTCTAGTTGTGGAGGACGTTGCTTCACTGGTCCAAGTTGGCACCATCATTGCGCTCTTCCCGGGCGAGGCAGAGCAGCTGCCGGCTTCTGGACGGCCACTCACTGTGGCTGCTGGTCGCTCACGCTGGCTGCTGGCTGCTGGCTACTGGCTACACACAGTAGCCCATGGCAACCCACTGCCACAGGGGCTGCAGCCTACGCCATCGCAGGTGACTCTTGGCAGCCCAGCTCCAGGTTGAACTGTTGTTCAGCATCTTAGCTGTAGAGGGCAGTGACACTGGCCCTCATATGTGGGATCCGAACCGGGGCCCTCTGGCGTCCTAAGCCAGTTCTTAACCATCGCGCCACTTGGCCGGCCCACCAAATGTTATTTTTTTTTACTATTGTTATTATTGAAATTATTAGTGGCAGCTAATTACACAGTAATTCGACTCATTTCATTGGGTCCTTCTTCTATTTGGAAGGATTGGGATGTACTAACTTTATCTAGACCACAATGTGTGACTGCTTTTAGTGTGAAGAATAGTGCTCTCAGAATGGTACCAGTACTTACATCTTAGTTATGTTGTGAGGATTCAATGAAGTAATTCATGCACTGGCACCAAGTGAGTAAAGTAAGCCCATGTGAAGCTCTTAGCAGAGGGCCTGGCACAAAATTGTATTAATGTGTCATTATTATTATCATTCCCTGAAGGAAGCAGATAGAAGATGGCTGAATGTCCTGAGCCCTGTAGTGCTGAGGCACTTTGGCTTCCCAGATCTCTGGCCAGTACATTCTTGGCTTTCTTCTTTTTAGAAACGCATGTGCTTTGGGATGACCAGCTAAGAGAGAGACTTGTGGAGATGGAGTCGGTGATGGTTGCTTCCAATGGGAAAATGTGTCTGGTTCCAAATATCTCACTTACTTTTTGGAACCTGCTATTTGAATAGGTTTGAAATTGCTTGCAGAAGCGGCTGTTCTTGACTTTTCCGTGAGCATGTGTCCTTCTCCACAGCCTCAGTCACTTGTCAGTCCTCTGGGTACAATGACAGTCCTTTTACTACCCCCTGAGGCCACTTATTAGTTTTAGGAGAGGGATTGTTTGCCAGCATCATTATGGTTATAGTCGTACCTTTTTTTTTTTTT